AGAGGAGATTCTCCAAGAAGTATTGAAAGCATGGCATGACCACTATGAACAGATTGGGTTTTTATTATTCATTATATACCTCATCTAGAGTAGAAATACATAATTCACCAGACATGCATAAATCTCCAATCTTTGCAATTTTCCTGCACTTTGAGTGCCTGATCCTTCCCAAAGACTGTGACATAATTCAAGGCTATCAGCAAGGAAATAGAGGGGAAGTCAGTGTCCAGTTCCTTCCTAATTCCATACTCCATTTCCTTCAAATTTCTGCTTTGTCAATATGCTTGTGGGCTGTATTCTTTACACTAAAATAACTTTGTTTAAGTTACCACATAATAGATTTATAGGTATAAAATTTTTTTATATTTTAGGTAACTTGTGTATTTGTGAGCCACAATCCCAGAAGAGTTTTATTGTTGCTAAACTGACACAAAACCTCTAATTTTCTTACCTATAGAAGCATAAAAAGAACACTGGACAAGTTGAGTGGTTCTCTTGTCATTGAATATACCAGTTAATGGTTAATTAAGAGCTCTTTAAACTTGTTTTGGAATGTTCTATTCAAAACAAAACAGTCTGAAAGATGTTTCAATCTATTAGCAAATGCATGAAATTAATATATGGCTCTATTTCTTCTAAAGACATCAAAATGTGAGCTGAGGTGTGGTGTAGAAACTGACCTTCATGAACTATAGAGCAGTAACATGGACTCAGGCAATGTAGACATTGTTGTGGTTTTAATTATCAGAAGGAATAAAACACATCTATTTTGTTATTTCCATGTTCTATACTTTTATTCCTATTAAAAAATAAATGGTAGAGCAAAAGATCTAGTTCATTAGACAAATTGTCAGTATGAAGCTGGTTAACATGGTTTCATGACCTAGAGTTGAAACTGTGGTTAGCAGGGAGGTGGGACTGTAATGGCTTGTGGCAGCGCGTGGTGCACCTGGCATGCGTGCGTCTGTCTGCTCATCGTTTTAGTTTCCAGCTGCTGTAGTACCTTATTTCTGCTGCTATAATGAAATGGCAAGGAAATGCCTTGTTAAAGTTTAGCTTAACATTATTAAAAACAAAACAGTAATTACAAGGCATCACAAATGAAAGAGAAAACAAGAGGCTTATAGCCATTTTGTAACACAGTTTGTCCTTGACCATCATGACCTGTTATTCACTTGGGCTTTGATGAGTAAAATAATCTTTGTGTTTGTGATCTTTACAGCCAGAGTTAGAAGGAGCAAGTAAAAAGGGAAGGGGGAGGGGGAGAGTGGAAGAAACATAGAGGAAAACAAAGAAGGGGAGTGTCCAGACAATGTTTATCTATGTTCTGTCTCCAAGTTTATCTATGTTTGTAACAACAAAATTACACATGTGAGTAAACAAGTACAAAGAAAAGAGTAATCACAAATGGGGAAATGTATTTCATGTCACCACTCAATCATGGTCTTTATTGTTAACTGGAAAAATTCAGTCATCCTGATCCATCAGCATTTCATATTGGGAAAAGGTAATAGAAACAAACAGCACTTGTTTTCATTTGAACAATTTAAAATTGTGTGAGAGGGCAAGGAGCATGAGAAGTGGATGAGTACACGCAGTGCGCCAACATGTGGGAGTAAACAGCCTGCTTCTTGTATTCCCACCAATTGTACTCTTCCAAGGCAGGAACTGAGATGCACACAGAACTGAGAAAGATGGTGAGCCAGGGTGGGACATCTATCATGGAAACGTGTCTATCACATACCCCCTCAGTGGTATTAAGCTACAGAGTGAGAAGGTACAGGCAATTACTTTGTCATCCATATCCAGGCTGAGGATCATGCAGAAGATTTATCTCTGGGTAGATTTTGGAAGAGCACTGACCTGATGTGATATGTGGCTGTCAGCTTCATGTGTGCTTCATCACAACAAAGAAGGTTTGACTTTTGGCACCAAGAGATAGTCCTTGTTTCAAGTGATTCCAGGCACAACCTCCTGGTTTCCAGTAGGGTCCTAATCAAACATTTGCACTTAAGCTCTTCTGCATAGAGGCAACATAGAGGATGTCACAGCTGCTATGGAAATGGCTGAAGATTGTCAGCTTCTTTGACTGAATAACAGAGATGATCCTTGCGAACCCTGTTTCATCAATATTTGCTTTGTTTCCTCCTTTATTTTGGTTGGCTCTAATTTTTATCAGGTCTGTGTAATGTTTAACATCTCTAATTAAGCAGAAGATGATGAAGCAGTATAAGTAGCAGTGTGGAAAACAGCATGGTCAGCTGAATGCAACGGGGCTTCTGATTTTGTAAGTACCACACACACATTTTTGTTTTTAGAGAGCTGAAGATGATGATTTCTGCAGTCAGTGGAATTATAATATTAGGTTAATTTCATTTTTCTGTTTGTGATTTGGTTCTGTGTGGATGTTGCAATGAAATATTAACCAAGCAGATGTGCAAGGGATCAGTGGGACCTGCTCTTCTGGGGGAATTTGCTTAGACTGAAATCAAACTAAAAACCCCTTTGAAGTCATGGTGACTTATTAAGTACTCGTTAAAAGAGAATACTGATGTAATCACCTTTCAGGTTGGAAACAGCCTTCACAGTGACTCAAAATTAGTATAATCCCACTAGTGACTGAGCAACCAGTCCAATTTAAAAACTCTTCTGGTGACTTAATTTATAAAGCAACAATTGAATTGCTAAGGCCAGGCTCTCTAATTAGGACTGGGGTGAGTGTAGGGGGTAGGTGGAAGGCCACAATTTAAATTTAATTGCCCCTTTCCTCCCATAGACAAACTAATATGTGGTCTGGAAGAGAATTATTTTCTGAATTTCTAATTTGCATAAAAATTACTTCCAGATTTAACAAAGCCTTTAGAATTTCTTCAGCTTTGAAACGGTAACAAAAATATTGGTGTCAGATATTTTCTAATCTCAAAATGTTGGCATTAACAGGGTTTTCATCTCATAAAGGAAAAGTACATGAAGAAAACTTGATGACAATATTCAGTGATTCCCAGCTTTTGATAGAAGTACTTGTTTTAGACTTCTGTAGAGAGTTATGATACCAGGAGAAGTTTTTAAACTGATCTGTTACAGCAGAAGTTAAAAACATGCCTAATATAAGTTTGCTGCAGAAAAAATCCCCCGAACCATACCCTCTGCTTCAGAAATTCTTTAAAATTTAGGCTAAGCTCTGTACAGACACAAGAAGTTAAATTATTTTTTTCTTTTTCACTTAAGTGTCCAATATGTCAAATAATTAGAGAAAAATGGACTATGACATGTTTAACATCAAATACTTTTGAAATACCTTTCATACTATATTATTTCTTCTTTTTCCACAGTACATACAGGTTGTTTGGGTTTTGCCTTTTTTTTTTTCACTATGAAAAAAAGGCAGAGTTCTGCTTAAAAGTTAACTGCAAATAGTTTTATCATATTCCCATCTAGGGTCATACTCCATCTTTTGTTTTAAGGAAATTCAAGTTTAGTGTTATCACTTGTTACTGTGGGGCACTGCAGTGGGATCTCAGGCAGACTCACTACACCCCGATCCTAGCAAATATGAGAACATGCAGCTACCTAAATGTTTTCTATGAAAAAAGAAAGACCATCAATACAAAAATAAAACAACTTGTTAATCACCAAGAATCCTTGAACCTGGGCTGCCATCAGAAACTCTAAATTATTAGATAGTATATATAGTCATCTTTCACATCTAGGAATGAATGTAGGATCAAGAGAACTTTACCACAGGCATGGGCAAATACATTCCTGAAAGAAAAGGATATAAGTTGGCTGTATTGGCTGGAAACCAGAAGAGGACCCAAGACAGTAGTTCTAGAAATGTTTTCACACTGAATATGTGAGGACAAAAACCTTATTTTCATCTATAGCTTGTTAAGTTCTGAAGAGGGTTTATATGAGATGCTTCCCCAGAACTGCAGGGAACTGAATTCAGTAAACCAGAGATTTGTTCCAGCTCGTGTGGAGAGCAGGTGGTTCATGTGAAGTATATCATGTCAGTTTTAGGAGAACAAACATAATGAAGAAACTTGTTATCTCCAAGAGAATTAATCTGTGTCCTTTGATGTCCAAATGGGATGAGTGTTTCTCTCCCTCTTTGATCCAGATCCTTCCCACACCCCATGAAGGTTAACCCATGGTGAGAGGCACACCACCATTTAAGAAATTACAAACACTCGTTGCAGCTCCCCCAAAAGGAGGATTCCTTCTTTCCAAACATGCACCTCGTTATCTGATGCAAACTTGCTTCTTGCCACATGTCATTGTGCCCACCTCTCTGTTCACTGCTGTCATGGCACAGGATGCTCCAGGCTTTTGCTTTGAAGTTCATGTAATTGACCTTCTTCCATCATTTATCAGTTTTGGCCAGTAACTGGCCATGTGAGTAAGTAACCATGAAGTAAATAGGGGTGTGAATTTAACAAGCACAGGATAGTCCATGATAGCTCTCTGTCCATATGCTGCTGCCCTGAGGAAAGTGAGGGCATTTACTCAGTCCCAGTGACTAGTGAGCTGCCTCACATTTCTTTACATATATCAAATGGCTTTTGGGCAGGTTCTGTGGAGTATTTTATGTCTTTGAAACCCACACCCTGTCTTACCTTGCAAAAACTTGTTTGTTTAGATGTACCCTACAGAAGACAGTGTTTTGAGAAGATAATGTCATTGTTAACAAAGATTATGGACTGAAAGTTTATATTTTCATTGCCAATGGGAAAAAGTATCATTTTTTCAGAGCAGTTACCATGGAGTATTATGACATTCTTATGCCTGACATTTTAGTCTATAACTTATTAGAATTTGTTAAATAAATTTGACATTGTGCCCATGAGAGCTTTAAGCTTGCTATGCACATAGATATTTACAGCTGAACTATGCAACATTTATGCTAACAAACTATTCATTATTTCTTACTACCAAGCACATCATTACCATCTGCTCATTTAATGACTGTTTATTTTGTGACAGAATAATTTGAAAAGAAGATGAAGTGTCTCCTGTGCCTGTGTTTACTCCTTGCTGTTCTTTGTGCTGTAACCCATTGCTGCCCTGAAGACATTTGCCATGAAGTCAACAATACTAATCTGCAGGATGGAAGAGAAAATTTATTAACATATAGCTGTGACAAGAAAGGCTCTAACTATGCAGATTTTGTATTTAGGTTTTACAAGCAGACTTCATCAAAAGAAGCTGATAAAAATGTGTTCTTTTCTCCTGTGAGCATCGCCACTGCCTTTGCCATGCTGGCTGTTGGTGCTAAATCAACCACTCTGTCTCAGATTTTTGAAGGACTGGGCTTTGATGACCTAACTGAGACTCGCATACACGATGTACATGAAAGTTTTCACAAAGTTTTGTCAGTACTGAACTGTGCTGATGTTAATATCACATTAAATATAGGGAATGCCCTTTTTACAGCTGCTGGGTATGAACCACAGGAGTCATTTTTACAAAATACCAAAGAATTTTATGATGCAGATTTTTTCTCCAGTGATTTTCATAAACCAGATGAAGCTACAAAGCAAATCAATAAATATGTAGAGGAGAAAACCAAGGGGAAAATTCCTGAATTAGTTGGTCATCTTGATCCAAGTACTGTACTGGTTCTTGTTAACTATATTTACTTTAAAGGTAAGACACTTAACATAATATTTCAATAGATAGTTTTGATACAAAATAAAAATTTTAGGGAACTTCTGATAATTTATTACCAGAGTGACAATTTAGGAAAGAGCTAAACTGTGCAGGACCATTCAAGTAAAGATTATATCTGGCCAAAAGCAGAGTATCTGATTGCTGAGAAATACTGATTTCTTGGTCTTAATTTGCTCGAAAGCTGTGGACAGAAAAGTTCCACCCTAGTGGATGCCTCATAGACAAGGATCCACATAGCCTCACTGGTTGAGGCCATAATGACTAAAGATGTGTCCAAGATCTCTATGCTGACTGTACACACCAGTCAGATTTGATGGACTGACATCCTTGCACAGGGACCCCAGTTTTATGGCAGATCTACTAGGTGCTCTGCATGAAAACCTGGGACATAGCATCTTGGGAGCCTGTGCTACTGAAGCCTTGCTCAAATATTAGGACTCTTTAATTGTAGATGAATTCTACACCAGGCCGATTGCAGTCAGCTTGCATAGGGTACAGTCTAACAGAAAAGGCATATGAAGGTCCTGGGATGAATGCTTAAGTGATTGCTCTTAATGGCATGAAAGGCATTACGTAGGCTTACAGTCAAAGAAGGACTCTCAACTGGTCTTCAGTCTTTGGTTGCTCTTCAGCAAGACATGATGTACACACAAAATATGATGAGCTTACTGCACAGCTAAAATGCTTTATTGTGTGTTATGAAGGAGATTGAAGTGGTTTAGTGAGCCACTTCTCCCATCAATATACCTCCAGTGTCCTACATTAAAGCTGGTCTAATTTAGATAAGCATTCTTCATGATCTTCACATTTGAGTGCAACAACATCTCTTTTTCCCCATTAGCTACCTGGGAAAAGTCTTTCGATCCTTTGCGTACACATGAGGATGATTTTTTTGTGAACCCAAATGCATCTGTTAGAGTCAACATGATGCAGCGTGATGGTATCTCAAACGTTTACTATGACCACGATCTCTCCTGTGTGGTGGTAGAGCTGCCTTACCAGGGCACTGCACGAGCATTGCTTATTCTGCCTGATGATGGAAAGATGAAGCAAGTGGAAGATGCTCTTTCCAAGGAAACGGTTTGTAAATGGGATAGCAAACTTGTGACCAGGTAACTCTAAGTATATGGTTGAGCACACATCACTGTTTTCAAAGGAAAATGCCAATTTCAGATCACTTCCTACTGGACATAATGTCCTGATTTCATAAAGGGAAGTTTTAAGCAATTCCCCCAATGAGTCAGAGCAGACCACAATCACTAAGAAACTGCAGGCTCTGTGACCTGACAGAAGGGGTCACAGCATTGTAATAGCTGCCTCAAAACTTACTTGGCTACTTTGTGACTCCTTAACTCTTCTTTCATGGTGTTAAGACAATTCATTTCCTTCACCATGTCTTAGATTTTTTCCTCCTTTTCCCTTACTTTAGGCTTTCCACTGTCCAGCAGACCACTGTCTGCTTAATCTCTACCCCTTTATCCAAAAATACTCTACTAGCTGCTCATGTGGCACTGGGATGAAAGAATGACAATGATCAAATTTGGTTATTTTCCCAAAATCAAACAGACAATGTAAATACAAGACGATGGTGGAAGCCCAAATTGCTCAAGGAATACAAAGACTACCATCAAACAAATTTGCAATCAAAAGAATGCTTTCAAGTGTTGCCGAGTTGCATACACCCTGCTGGCTGTGAAGAGGCTGCAAGGGCTCACTGCTCTTTTGTTTTCTTTGATCAACAGGAGATTAAATCTGCAGTTACCAAAGTTTTCTATTAGTGGGTCTTACGATGTTAAAACCCTGTTTGAGCAAATGGGCATTACTGAAGTTTTCTCAGGTAATGCTGATCTGTCTGGAATTAGTGGCAACCACAATCTCCAGGTTTCACAAGTAAGTAGACAGAGCTGGTGATGGTATGGTGGTTGTTTTGATCAGTTGTGTTTGGGATTTTTAAAGACTTTATTTCCCTCTTTATATTACTGAAGTTGTAAGTAAAACTCACAGTGACATGTAGGGGCTAGCTCAGTAATTGTGCTTTTTTACAGAAAGAATCTGCCAGCTCATTTTTGTATTACATTAATGCTCTAATTAAAAAGCTGGACATTAAATACATAGAGAAATTGGACAACATTTTAAATAACTTACTTGCACTGGAATATAATAGTTTAAATGAAGTTGTTTCATTTGTAAATTACAAATGAGGAGTTCCTTATGATATTTGTGTTGATTAACACCTCAATTTTTCATATTCCCAAAGTTTTCAGGAAACCTCCAGTTTGCAGTAGCAGAATTTGACCATGTCAGTTTGTGCTATGATTTAATGCTAAAGATGCCAAATACTGCCCCATATTAGCAGTTTTTAGCTAACCCTGAAATAATAGAAATTGTTGCTAGTAGAAGTCCAAACCATCTAAGAAAACAAACTAGCTTGTACATGGGGTATTTTTATCCCACTCTACTCAGCACAGCTGAGAATGCATTTCAGTGTCCATGCTAAGTTTTGGCCCTCCTTGCTCAGTCCTGGCTTATAAAATACTCCTGTTTCAAACTGTTGGAGTTTTATCATACAATACAATTTCATCTACTGGATTTATTACTCCTTTCTTCTCCGAAATGTTCCATAAGAAGATAATTTATTTTACTCCTGCTTCCTGTCCCATATATAAATCAGTGTTTTCTCCTATTCTGTGCAGGCAGTTCACAAGGCCTTGCTGGAAGTTGATGAGGCTGGAACTGAAGCTGCAGGAGCCACTGCCATAATCTTTACCAGAGTTTCCTATACTTTTCATACCATCAAATTCAACAGGCCCTTCCTTATTTTGATATCTGACAAACAAACTGGCACCACACTTTTCATGGGGAAAATTGTTGATCCTACTAAGGAGTAATGGCTGGGTTATTTGGCACACTGATATTGGGTATGGGTTATAATGGCTACAGCATTTGCAGTTTTGGCTAGGTAGTGCTGCTAACTAGTCTCTGATTGAGGGATATTCAGAAGTAAATAAGAATTTCTCTTATCAAATTAATAAGAAAAAAACATTGCAAAAAATCACCATCGACTGACTCCTTTAAAATACAACATTTTCCCCAGTTGAATAATTGTATTGGGTTTGCATGGCAAGGTTTGGGTAGTGGGAACTTGTGTGGTGCCTATAGGGGTGACTTCACTAAGAAACTGACAGAAGCTTCCCCCATATCAGACAGTCAATGCCAGCTCGCTCCAAGATGGATCTGCTGCTGCTGAAGGCTGAGCCAATCAGGAATGATTGTAACACCTCTGTGGTAACATATTTGAGAAAGGAATAAAGTTATTTCACAGAAGTAATTGAGGCCAGAGGAGTGCGAAGTGAGAATAAATGACAGAAATCACCCTCCAGACACCAAGGTCAGTGAAAAACTAGGGGAGAAGGTGCTTCAGGTGCCAAAGCAAAGATCCACCTGCAGGCTGTGGTGCAGCCCACGGTGAGCAGGCTGTCACCATGCAGCCCACGGAGGTCCAGGGGAGGCTGAGATCCATGTACAGCCCATGGAGAGGCCCACTCGGGAGTAGGTGGATGTCCAAAAGAAGGCTGTGACCCCATGGGAAGCCCACACTGGAGCAGGCTCCTGGCAGGACCTGCAGAGCCATGGAGAGAGGAGCCCACTCTAGAGCAGGTTTGCTGCCTGGACTTGTGAGAACGTGGGGGACCCGTGCTGGAGCAGTCTGGGCCTGAAGGACGGATCCTGTGGATGGACCCACAATGGAGCAGCCTGGGCCTGAAGGATTGATCCTGTGGATGGACCCACAATGGAGCAGGCTGGGCCTGAAGGACTGATCCTGTGCATGGACCCATAATGGAGCAGGCTGGGCCTGAAGGACTGATCCTGTGCATGGACCCATAATGGAGCAGGCTGGGCCTGAAGGACTGATCCTGTGCAAGGGACCCACAATGGAGCAACTCATAAAAAACTGTAGTCCATAGGAAGGACTCACACTGGAGAAGTTCATGGAGGACTGTCTCCTGTGTGAGGACCCCACACTGGAGCAGGGGGAAGACTACTCTCCCCGAGGACGAAGCAGCAGCAGAACCATGTGATAAAACTGGCCATGAGCCTTATTGCCCTTCTCCCTGAGCTGGGACAAAGGTGTTTTTAAGATTTGTTTTACTTCTCATTATCCTTCTCTGGTTTTGATTGGTAATAAATTCAATTAATTTCTCCAAGTCAAGTCTATTTTTCCTGTGACATTAATCAATTTGTGATCTCTCCCTATCCTTATCTCAACTCATGGACCTTTCATTTTATTTTCTCTGCATTTTCCAGTTGAGGAAAGGAGTGATGGAATGACTTTAGCGGCATTTGTCATCCAACCAGGTTTAAACCACCACAACAATTCAACTTATTAATGAATATTCCAAAATTTCCATGGAAGATAACTTTTTCTTAAGTATGTTGTTATATTTTAAATTAATTATATATGCTAAGGAATTTTGTTTTGCTTTCAGTTCTGGATTACTCACCAAAAGTTTTATCCCAGTAGGTAACAACTCTTGTCATTCTACTATGTCTTCTCCAGTATTTGCCTGAGCTGGTCCCTACAGAGTCCTTTCCTCCTTACATCACTCTTTGCTGCCTAGGCTGCTGTTTATACTCAATCAACCTGTTCTTTTTCACATGTTCCAGCTCTTTGCCTAGGACATCTTAAGAAATCATTGACAAAAAAGAAAGAGAATAATCCCTGAAACAATAGACTTTTTCTGATGTAGCTCTTATTGCAAGTGCCTCTTTGCACTCCACAAGGTTGGCAAAAAACTTTAAGAGATGGTAACATTAGGCATAGCATAAACTGTTAAAGAATTGTCTGTGAAAAAACATCATTCATGAATAATTGATCAACTGTGGATGATCAATAAAATATACAATGTAATTTAAATATGTCACTTAAGGAATTACTCCAGTCTCTTTTACCATTCTATACATCTCTTAAAAACAACAAACATCTTTAGCCATTCTTACTAACATAGGAAATATCAGTAAAATATGTCTTAAAGCTGTTAAATGACTGCAGCTTTTCTCATATGGAAATTGCAATTATTCACGATTGCGATTCCCTCTTTATTTGTCTGTTTGTTTTCAAGAAATACCTAAACGCTTTCTTGCTGTTGTGGGTCTGTAGATCACCCACTCTTATTGCAGTGGAGCACTGGGGCTAAACTCTGTAGAAAACCTTGAGGCACCATTGCACAGCTGCTGTGTCAAGGAGAGGCTAACTCTGACAGCTTCTATCTCACTGCACTGCTCTCATACCATTGCATATTGATCATGGATATATTTTTTGCAAGTTGAGTCTCCATCCCTAGGAAGATGAGGCTTCTGAATGCACACTGCACATTTCTACAGTGGTCCTGGCAGTCTGTTTTGAGCACTGCAAAGGTAGTGCAAGCTCCAAATCAACGAGTTCCCCACCCCTGACATCCCTCTGGCCTTCTGACCTGTTCTCCCAAACCTGGCCCACCTTACACAGAGGTGCTTTACAGGAGCCCATTGGTGTTTGTAGGATTGGGTTGGTGCATGGGGAGCTGTGCTTCTGACTCAGGGGGACTTGGAAATTGCTGCCTTGTGTGAGTCCCCTTGCTCCAAGTGGCAAGAACTCAGTGGAAGCCCTGAGCTATTGCTCCTCATGAGGCAAGATGACATCACCCAGGGGATGAGAGACCACGCCTCTGTGCAAAGCAGCGGCCTTTACAGAGTTAAGATCAATGAGGACTTGCCATGGTGTGAGGCAGCCTGTTCTGCAGTGCCTACACAAACTCAACAGGAGCTGGCAGCAGCTCCTGTGAGATCCCATCCAGATAAATCTGTGCACCAGGGCCGATTAGAAGGTAGGATGGTGAGATTTTTATCAGAGCCACAAGATTTTTATCAGAGTGTGGTGGCAGAAAAACAGTTTGTTGGCCTGTTGCTAAAGGGAAAGAAGTTAGGAAAAATCCCATAGCTGCTAGGACAGAGCAAAAGCTTTGGGAAATCACAAAGAGAGCAATTTCCTTCCCCATCTGCCTCCCAGGCCTTCGGGTTTGAGATGGCACAACAACAGCTGCATTGGTAGTTTCCCTACTGGTCTGTGAAAAATGGCTGCTACTAGCAGAAGTATAAAATGGGATAGATACCTCTGAATTCTGATTTGGGAGTTATTTACCAAACTGTGGGGCATCTCTACAGTTTTTCTCCAGATAAGCAACTTCGTGCTCCAGACCAGCAGGTTGACCTGAATTGTGGAAGGGACCAGGGGTAGAAAGAGGGATCATCCTAAATCCCTCTGGAAGAAGGGGATATGTAGGGGACAGAAAACTAATACATCTTGTGCCAAACATACACCAAAAGCAGAAAAGTACCTACAGTTCACAATATGAAGGTCTATAGAGACTGGGCATTAAACATACCTCACTGATGTTGTTCTTAACACAGTTCTGATAATATTCTTTAGGAACTGGACAATTCTGGAAAGCTTGTATAGGGAGATGGAGTATTTTTTCCTAATTCCAAGAAAATCTGCCTTGGTCTACTTCGTATCATTTGTCCTTGCAGCTTTCTTTTGTCTTAATATGAAATAGGGAACCCTCTTCATTATATGAGTGTTATTAAAGGTAGACAAAAAAGGAAGGATTCTGATAGACATAACTAAAATTTTCATTTATGAACTGTGTATTTAATCTGTGGTAAACACATGTGTTTTATGGTGCCTCTCATTCATCTGGAGATGTTTTTTTTCCTCTACAATTCCCACTCATGCATTCTCTCAGCCTGTGGGGCAGCTGGATCCAAACTAAGCCCTGAAAGAAAGCTAGACTTTTTTTATAAGCTAAAGGTTGTAACCTTTATAACCTAATCCACCTGACTTCCTGCAGTGGCATTCAGCAGAAGGGGATAATACAGCTTACAGTGAAGCGTGTGACCACCTATCATAAACATCCAACATAAATGGCCTGTTGGGGGTCTGTGAACCAAGATCTGACACACTTATGGGAAGTTAGGAGGAAAAGGACTTACCTAGAGAGAGTTTAGGTCAGCTGAGAACCCCTGTAAGGGAAGATAGACCCACAGGGCTGGGCCTCTGGAAGGCAGCCTAGCTGTGCCCCAGCAGAGCCGAGTGCCAAACTTCTCCTGGCAGCCTGTGAGCCATGTGGGAGACTGAGTTTGTTCTGTCTGACCTTGTTTATGGTCCAGTGGGACTCTGCTTGATGACCGGATATCTTCTGTCAGTAACACTGTTTGCTTTGCCACATGGCAGAGTCCATGTAGAATGTTGTTACAAAGCATAAAGCAGTGGAATTGCAGGGCCACTGCAGTGTGTGTTCCTTTCAGCAGTAAGGAGAGGTGCTGACAATGTCAAAAGGCACAGAGCATTTGGATAGTTACAGAAGCACCAGTTGCTCACATAAACTCTGCTGTTCAGATGCTACCAGTACTTTGGACTTTCTTGTTGCCAGCTATGCAATTTGAGTCTCAGCCCTGGTATCTGGAATGCCTTGAATGAGCACATCCACCCTCTCCCCACAGTCAAGTCATCTGCACAGCCTGTGATCACTGCAATTATTGCAAGAACATGAGAATTTGGACAGGTTGTAAGCCAGCCCTATACTAAATGTTTCATTAGATTCAGTGCAACAAAAGCTGCAGGCATTTTCCTTGCATTCACACTAATTCCAAGCAGAGAATCACTAAGCTCTTAAAACCAGATTGTGATAGTTCCCAGGCAGGATAGGTTTTGAACTGGGATTCTGAGAACCCAGCTAGTCATCTTTGACGTGAGTCTTGGTAGTTTGGAACGTAGGAAAAAACCTCAAACAGAGTTAATCCCTAATCCAGCATTCAAATCATGTCTCTAAAGAACAGAGGCACTAGAATT